CCTCTGGCTGCCAGTCAGCTTGGGAATATGAGCTTTTCGCTTATCGATAAACCTAAATCTCTAGGATTAAGGATAAAAACGCTTAATGCAATCAGGATTTGAGAAAGATGCTACTGATTTCATTGTAATCAGGCAATTATAATGTTACAAGGACAAGGGACCCAGTACCCCCCCCCCCCCACCTCTCTGTGTGTCTAGAACACAACTTCACTGAGGTTTCTTAAGGCAGGACTTTGAAAAAGTTTTTTCTCTATAACCAAAAAAAAAAAAACAGCCTTGCCCTTAGGGAAGATTTTTAATCAAAGCATGTTGAGCATTTTATGCTTCTTCAGGAATAACTTTCATTTGTCACACATCTGAAGTTCACCTCTGTTCCTAAGGTGACATGGTAAATCAGCTTGTACATGGATGAATGTATACAAATTAGTTTATAGACAGCTGTCCCAAGACATTTGGCTGCCTGAGGTACAACAGCAAATGATCCCCTACACTTATCACACCTGTCAAAGCAAATTGTAGCCAAATTCAGATAAGGTTTCCACTGTCATTCTGTTTCCAGGTAGTTGAAGCTCTGTAATGTGGACCTAATATAGGCTCCTGAGTTCTAATGAGTTCTAGTCCAGAAAGAACAACCAAGAGATAAAGTCAGGGAAAAACAACTACAAACCCAAGCCTACTATATAGCAAGGCCATTCCAGTAAGGGAGTTCCAAAGCCAAGGTTAAATAGTCCAAAGCCAGCAGAAGAGAATGAGAATAAACTAACAGCAAAACAAGACATACCCCAGGCTCACACAAAACAAACTAGTCAAAGGAATCAGGAATGCAGACAGCAGACAAAAGTCCAGACAATATTACACTGTTGCTCTAGACACTGAAACTTGTTTAAAGTAAAGCTTTTATTCCAGAAGTGGTAATACTGTGATTCACCAGATCTTATGGACTGCAGTTTTCAGTATTCCCCACCACTGGCTATGCTGCTGGGGTTTGTCAGAGTTGCAGTCCAGCAATATCGGGGGGACGAGCACACCATTTCCACCTTTGCCTTGTATATTGGTGCTATCAGAGATCCTACCTCAGGTATAGGTAGCTCATGTATAGTCCATTTGGCTTCAAATCTCCATTTGATCAGAGACCTACTTGCATTATTACTTACTCCCAAGGAAGCCACTAGTTTGGAAAAGACTATGGGGATGTACACTCCTCCTGGTGTTCTTGCACTGAGCCCTAGCCTTAATTCTTCTTTTCTTACATGTGATGGGATGAAACCCAGCATCTTTGTCTGAGTTATGGGCTGGGCATTCCTCCTTAGAAGGAGCACGTTCCCAAGTCCAAGTTCTGAGAGATTTATGGAGTCCTCATTCATCTTCACTAGAGGACATGGCCATCCTCATCCTCATCCTCAATAAAACAGCTCTCATTTTTGGATTTAGGATGCCAGGTTCCTATAAAATGATATATATAACAAGTTTTTCTAGGAGTTCTCAAAAATTATTGCAAATGTATTCTCAGAGCCATCGACAATAATTTTTGAGAACTCCTGGAGAACTGGAGTAGTCCCAGCAGACCCTAGGAGGGCAAATGTTGTCCCCAGCTTCAAAAAGAGGAAAAAAGAGAATCCCAGCAATTATCATCCAGTTAGTCTGACATCAATACCAGGAAAGATTCTAGAACAGTATTAAACAGAAAGTCTGTGAACATTTAGAAAGCAATGCCATTATCACAAAAAGTCAATATGGGTTTCTGAGAAACAAGTCATGCCGGACTTATCTGATCTCCTTTTTTGATAAAATTACCAGTAGACAAAGGGAATGCTGTAGATATAGCATATCTCAGTTTCAGTAAGGCCTTTCACAAGGTCCCCCATGATATTCTTTCAGACAAGCTGGTAAAATGTGGGCTAGAAAATGTGACTGTTAGGTGGATTTGTAATTGGTTGACCAGCTGAACCAAAGTATGCTCAACAATGGCTCCTCTTCATCCTGGAGAGAAGTGACCAGTGGGGTGCCCCAGGGATCTGTCCTGGGCCCAGTGCTATTCAACATCTTTATCAATGACTTGGATGAAGGAATAGAAGGCATGCTTCTCAAATTTGCAGATGACACCAAATTAGGAGGAACATATGTGAATGTTTTGTTGCTGTTTATTGCCTGGTTATTCACAGAATAATGGCACTTTAATCACTTTTCACCAAGACATTGTGTGAAATCCATTAGCACAATTGTGCGATTATCACAGGATGTTCCCAGGATACTCACACTTTGAATATGACAGCATGTGAAAATGTTAATCGTGAATGCATGATTTTGATGGGTTAATCACCGTTTATACTTCCAGTTGTCCCCATATGATAAACTCCCTAGTGGTTTCTTATTTGCAGCTCTTCCAATTTCACAGGGTTCCTGAGCCCTTAACTCCAGTGAATGTGGAGGGCCCACTGTAGTGATCGTTCTTCAGGGAAATCTACAAAAAATATACAAACAGCTATTATAAAACTTATATTTTTAATATAATATTGTTTATGGAAACATATGTTCTACAAATAATTTTGAAGCCCTAATATATATATATATATATATATATATATATATATATATATATATATATATATATATATATATATATATACCGGTATATATATATACACACACACACACACACACACACACACATAGACACTTGTGAAAAATGGCATAACATAATAATCCAATCAATAATCACTAATATTCCATATTAGTGAACGAATTACTAAGTAATGTCTCCTGCCCCACATCCCAGAGCCACAAAAACACACTGCAGCCACATTGAGTGAAAGAGATCTTTTCAGCTGTCGATCGGAGCACAAGGATGATGATGTTTGCAGCCCCTTCCACCACCAAATGAGGCTGAGTAAAGGAACTGCAATAGGGGTTTTGCTTCTGATTGCCATAGCCTCACTTCCTGGCAGGAGAAAGCTGGAAACATCCTCCTCCTTGCACCCTGATCAGCAGCTGAATAGACCTTCTTTACTCAGTGCAACTGCTGGCTGTTAAGGTAGACAGGGGAAGGCATTTATAATCATGGCAATAGTGCCACAACTGTGACTACTTAGTGTTACTGCATACAAATCAGTTACAGATCTGAAAGTCTAGGCGACCAATCTGTAACTACTGTAAAGCATGCCAGCCGCCGATGACTATAAAACAAAACTCAACTCTACATAATATTTTCTAAATACAAAAGTGATGCTCCAATTTTTAATGAATTATAATTTCATTACAAACTGCAAAAAGCAACAGCATATATAATCAGTATTATTCCACAGATCTTTGGCTGCTGCATCTCACAAACCGATTCTGGAAGGACCAAGCTTTAAAAGTGGGTAAGTGATGTCACTGGAGCACTTTTCCTTCTTGCCTCTGTGCCATCCCCTCTTTTATCCTCTTCTCCACACAGGCAGGCATGTTTGTGTTATTAATATGAAATGCCATCATGCTAATAAATGAAAAGCGGCAGCTATAATAGTCCATTAGCTCAAGCCCATAACTCTAGCTGGGAGCTTGGTTGGAGTGACCTGGAAAGAACAAGATGTGTGCCGACTCCAAGCATGCATTTCCCCACTAATTGTGCCCAATGCTGAAATGCCTTTAAGCACATCAACTTGCTTGGATGGGGCTGCCTAGACACCAGCAGGCTCTGTCCATCTTCATTTGCAGAGCAAAAACAGTGCCTGCACCTTTCACAGGACTCATTCACCTGCAATTCCCATCACCACGAAATTGGCCTCCCTTGCTTATTGTAGAAACACTTGCCTTCAAGCCTCAATCAGGTCTGTTGTGAAGATGCAGGAGGATCTCATTTGGCTTTCATTTTTAAGCAAACTGACCTATTTCAGACTTCATGCAGATTGAAACATGGCTATCTTTTGGAATCAGCTCCTCTCCAAATGTTGTAGTACAGGTCTCAGCTCAAAGATTGCAAATCTACACACACACACACACAAGGATGGCACAGTAAGTTTGCAATGCACACTGGCATGCATTCATATAGTCTTAAGCCAAAAAAAAAAAAAGTAAATCCAGGAAAGCTATATGCAAAACTGCACAGTTGGTAATAATCAAAATCAAGCAAATGCTCCCCATCCATATGCACACCTTAAAGATAGAACCCAGAAATGTTCCTTTTTGGAATATACCATGAATCCCAGAAATAGCATGGTCATTCTAGTGGAGCAATTCTAGGAATTATAGTGCCCTCATCAAAAATTTTAAAAGGTCTGTTAAAAGCTGTAGTGTTGCATAAATAGGGACAGGGCTGCTACTGTCTATGAATTATTGCTTTGGCCGAATGGATGAAGAAATCCTAAAGGAGAGGCTGTAATTATTAGTTCAGTTCAGAACGAGACAGAGATTATGCCCATTCATACCAGACAATTATTGCATTATCATTCCACTTTAATTGGCATGGTTCCATCCTACAGATTCCTGGGAATGGCAATTTACAGAGGAGCATTGAGGATTCTCAGCCAGAATGCTCCAGTGCCTCACCAAACTAAAACAAACAAACAAACAAAAAAGGTTGCAGCCTTTGCCATTGATCATGCCCATTTCACCTTGAATAAGGTAGCAGGATTTTCAATTATGTAAAAGGGGACAAAGGAGTACATTCATTATAGTGGAATTTTTACTATGCATTTGCACCTATTTTGTATCTTGTATTTATAGAGTTTGAAAATTTGCATCAAAGATTGCAATACTGCTGAACAACATATAAAGAAGAGTTCTACAACAAGGTTCTGTACTAGTATCTCATTGGATGTATGGAACTTTTGATGGCTGGCATCCTGTTAGGGGTAGTGTTGTTGTTGTGTGCCTCCAAGCTATTATTAATTTATGACAATACTATGGCAAACCTACCATAGGGGTTTTTTTTAGCAAGTTTATTGAGAGGGGGGTTGTCATTGCCATCCTTTGAGGCTGAGAGAATGTGACTTGCCCAAGGTCACCCAGTGATTTTTTTTTAATGCTCAAGCAGAGATTTGAACCCTGGTCTCCAGAGTCATAGTCCAACACCCACACCACTACACCACATTGACCTTCATTAGGGGCATAAAGGTAAAGGTAGTCCCTTGACATGAATGTCTAGTCATAACCAACTGTAGGGAGCAGTGCTCATCTCCATTTCTGAGCCGTTGTCTGAGGACTGCTCTGGTGATCATGTGGCATGACTGCACCGAAAGCTATTATCTTCCCACTGAGAAGTGGTACCTACCTATTGACTTATATTTGCATACTTTTGAACATCTAGATTGGCAGGAGCTGGGACTAGTGACAGGGGCTCACCCATCATGCAGCACTTGGGCCTCAAACTGCAAACCTTCTGATCTTCCAATCATCAGAAGTGGTGTCTTGATCACTAAGCCACTACATCCCCATTAGAGACATACTCAGGCATAAATTAATCTTGCTGAACCTATACCTAGAGTTGCCATATTCCTCTTCCTAAAATCCAGGCATCTAATTATTCTCAGTACTCATACTGATAAGCAGAACAGGCAGAAGAGTCCCGCAATCAGTTCCTGCAAAGGCACTTTACTGCATGCATGGAACTTTGGGGGCAGAGTATGCATATTAAACTTATTTATTTATTGTTAAAATATATTGGGACATAAACTCTGGTTGTGTTTGCAATGTTCCATTATCATTGGGCCCACAGAACCCTGAAAGAAGTACACTGCCATTGGTTCAAGTGGGAACATCAGGCTGCTATACAGGGATGGGGCTCAATGGTGGAGGCGGCAGGGTAGGAATTAGTTTTAGGTGACCCTAAGGTGGGGGGGGGGGTTGGTTAGGACCCATAGTCAGCTTCTCAAATATGTCAAGTGCTGACATTAGATCTGGCAATGGCTTGTTTCCTTTACCATCTGAAATGAGCCTAGGCCACATGTACATGTTTATGTTTGCAGGGTTTCTGATCACATAAAGGTCTGGGTCCAGGGCCAAGCCAGGGCATTTGGTTGCCTGAGGCAGATGCTGCAGAGCAACTATCAAACTCTTGGGGTCCCCTTTATCACAGAAGCAAGTTGTGCTCTCTTTACACACACACAACAAACGACACAACACACACAAGACAAGGTTCTGAGGAGGAAGAGGCCGTTTCCCCCATTTTGAGTCTCAAGGCAGCAGGAGGGAGAGATAAAATATTTCTGTTCCCCTGGAAATTTGTGTAATATTAGAGTGATTAGTCTAAACTGAATACCTTGGTAAAATGGACAGTACAATAAAATATGATCAATTGACTCTGTTTCTAGGCTCTGTGTCTGTGGTGTTACAAGGCAGCTCACAACAGAGTTTTAAAAATAGTTCAAAGTTCACAAAGTACAAAAGTTAAAAAGTGATTAAACTATTTAAAAAAAATTAAAACTAGTTAAAAACAGAAAGCCACAGTGCAACAAAAAATAAAATAAAGAAAATCCAACACATTGTATAAGGCCCATCTTGCCTAATCAATCAGTCCTCAAGTCCTCAAGTCCTGACAGAAAAGGACCCAAAGCCAGGCAAGGCATTTTATCATCTGGGCTGAGCATTCCTCCAAACACCTGTCTTCAATATCTGGTGGTAAATATTCAATAATAACAAATCCAAGGCATATCATTGTCCAGAATGGCAGGCAGAGAGTCCATCCTTAGATTTAGTGTCCTCCACAGCTTTTCTTGTATGAGAGTTATTTGGATTCTGGATAAGGTTCAGCACCTGGATAGTTCTTCTTTAACTTAGAGCAACTGCAGTGAAGCTACCATTTAAACTGAAGAGCTGATATTAAAACAGGGAGCCCATTCCCACTATGATTTAAACCGATATGTTGATCGGTTTATATGTGCCTCGTTCACAATGGAAAAGATTTCAGACCCAACTGTGTTCAGTCTGAGAATCGAGGTGAAGCAAGGCAAATGCAAAAGAATCACATTTTTTGAAAATGGATCTTTTGGTTGTTCTTTTGAAAAGAATCATTTTGCAAGTGTGTTCAACAAATGTGAATGATGTTGGGATTACGATTGCATCACACTGGAGGGGAATGATTAGCAAAGGGGTGGCAGAGGGGTGTAACCCATCCTGCGCCATGTTTTGGAAAATCTGCCATATTTCCCCCTCTCAGCACTGCCTTGGTGTTGTCTTTTGACTACCGTGGGGCTTTCGAATTTAGATTATAAACACTGCCAAGTGGGCCCTGTAAATCTCATTGGTCCTGATCCTGCTGTTTTTGCATTTTTTCCCCCAATTGTGGTGGAATATTTTCAAGAGGTAGGATAATTCTCATATTTGTGTGGGTTCTTTAGAGTGAGTAATGGGTCTCCTGGTTGCATCACCAATGACATGCAGATGTGCATCATATGACTGGCATTTTTTTAAAAAAAGGCCAGGATGGATCAATTGCATTTGATACTAAGCATGCATTTTGTAGCAGTGCAAATCTAGTGTGAATGGCGATCATGTTAAAAAGAAACGAATGCATGGAAATAATTCGCTTCTGATAATGGGAACTACACATAGGTATGAATTGATTCAGTGACTGCATGTCAACGCAACTCGCAAACCGGTTTAAATGCAAGTGGAAATGAGCCCCCAGTGTGGATTCTCCATTGCACAACATTAGAGTCCCCAGCTGCCTCTGTATCAGATTAGATAACTATTTCTTTTCCTTGCATGATATCCCAGGACTTTTTACTGAGGCAGTTGCCTCCCTTTGACTCTTAGTAGGGCTAGCCCTTATTATAAATACATGTGCAGGTTCAGATATTCCAGGGAATACATATAGGTCAGGTTATATGCATGAACTCAAAAAACTAAAAAAAAAAACCCACTCTAAACAATAGCTCTAAAGAATAAATTTACAGTTGTGTGTGTGTACATCTCTGTGTATCTCTTCAAATCACTTGTGAAATTATGCATTTCATAAGGTTTTCTTAAGCAAGAAATACTCAGATGCAGATGTGCATCATATGACTGAATATTTTAAAAAAAAAAAAAAAGGCCAGGATGGATCAATTGCATTCGATACTAAGCATGCATTTTGTAGCAGTGCAAATCTAGTGTGAACGACAATCACGTTAAAAAAGAAACGAATGCATTGAATAATGAAATAATTCACTTCTGATGCAGATGTGCTTCTGATGCAGCTGGTTTTGCCACTTCTTTCCTCTAAAATATGGCCTACAACACCTGGCATTTGTTGGTGGTCTCCTGCTTAGTTTCCAACATCAGACAGGATCTGCCTTTAGGGTATTTAAGCCATTAACAGTTACAGCTACATAAATTAAAAATTGTGTAACAGACTAATAGAGAGTTTGAAGTGTTTTCACTGAAATTTTCTCCTCCCTGGCAGAGGAGAAAGAAGAAAATCAACTACACGCAGGAATATTCCTCCTCCATGGTGCTTCTTTGTATCTAGATGTTTACTGCTATTAAGTTCTTGCCTGAATCCATTCCCACCAGGAATCTCCCATTTGCATTCCTAGGCAATTCTGCAAAGGATCTCTATAGGTGGCTCAGCAATTATTTAATCAAGCATAAACGCTTCAATCTTTCTCCACAAAAGGAAATAATCATCCCTGTTTTTCTCCTCTTCTAAGTCCATTACAAAGTCTAAAAGTTACCAGTTTTCTCAGCCACTTCCACTACCTCCCCAAATCTACAACCCCTGTTCTTCAGAGCTATTCATGTGCAAGGCTGCCTTGTACAGATGGGGCTGCAGCTCAGGACTATCCCAGCCCTTAGATTTCAGCACCGAAACCTGAGACTCAGAGAAGACCCTTTTATGATATCATGGAGCATCAT